GCATTTGGAAATAATATGACTAAATCAAATGTTCACATCCCATTAGCTACATTTGAGGGTTGTACAACCCCAGCATTTTGTGAAATGCTATCAAATCAAGAACCTGTGATTTGTTCATTCTCTTTAACCTTTATATAATTGACTAAAGTACAAAGAGAAAATTTCCATTGTTTTCCCTGGCCAACTTAATTTTATTTTCAGCAGTTTGTGATTGTTGTTGTCTGATTCTCCTTTTCATGACTGACACATGTTCAATAAGAGACGGATCTGGACTGATCTAGCACATTCAATCTGTGTCTATGAAACCACGCTGTTGTAGCACATGCAGAACGAGACCTGGCATTGTCTTGATCTAATAACCATGGACTTCCCATGAAAGACGTCATCTTGATGGCAGTATATGTCTCTGGACAATTTCAGTATATGCCTCCATGTCAGTGGTACCTTCACACATATGCCAGTCACTCATGCCGTTTGCTCTGATAAACCCGTATGCCGTGACAGATGTTTGCTTCTGCATCTGGATGCTCCCTTTGATCTTTGGCTCTGAGAACTCGACATCCATTGTGGACTCATCTGAGCAAGTCAAGTCAAGTCACCTTTATTTATATAGCGCTTTTAACAATACAGATTGTGTCAAAGCAACTGCACAGCATTCATTAGGGAAATTGTGTTTTAAAAAATGCAAAAAGACAATAGTTAACACTAAATTTTTAGTTAAAGGCAGTTCATCATTGAATTCAGTGATGTCATCATCCAGCTCAGTTCAGTTTAAATAGTATCAGTGCAATCAAGTCGACGATATTGCTGGAAATTAAGTGTCCCCAACTAAGCAAGCCAGAGGAACCAAAACTCCATCGTGCTGTGATGTTGGGAAATGTCAACACCTGTTGATGCTTTATTTTTCGTTAATTTAACCACTGTATTGAATAAATACCTGGGGTTATGTTTGTTTTCTTCTAAAAGAGACGAAAAATAATCAGATTTAGCTGTTTTTAATGCTTTTCTGTAGGATAGGGTACTTTCCCGCCAAGCAATACGAAATACCTCTAGTTTTGTTTTCCTCCAGCTATGCTCCATTTTCCGGGCTGCTCTCTTTAGGAGAGTAATGCAACCTTTTCACTTTTATTTTGTCCCAACGTTTTTGGAGTGTGTTGCAGCCATCAAAATAAAAATTTGTTTATATTTACAAAATACATTTAAGTTAGTCAGTGAAAACTTCGGAAATCTTTTCTTTGTACTTTTGTCAGTTAAATAAAAGCTAAAGAGCATTAACAAATCACAGATTCTTGATTTTATTGCATTTTACAAAATGACTCAACTTTTCTGGAATTGGGGTTATATTATAGATGCTTGCTTGTAATAATTATCAGTGTTGGTGAAAGTTACTTTTAAAAGTAATGCATTATAATATTGCATTACTCCCTAAAAAAGTAACTAATTGCATTACTTAGTTACTTTTTTATGGAAAGTAATGTGTTGCATTACTTTTGTGTTACTTTTGCTTTACTTTTTTTCATCTGGGCTGGGCTTGCTTTTATATATATATATATATATAACGGAGGCCAGCGAGTAGGTGCTGTGCAGGTAAACCTCACTCCCCTGATCTCAAGAGATGTACTAGCGACTGATGTTAGAGGCTGCAGTCTTTAGCCTCCTTGTTAGTGCGCCTGCCTCCCATGCCGGAGACTCGGGTTCGAGACCCACTCGGAGCGAGAACATGGTGTGGCAGTGAGAACCCGGGAGAGAGGGGTTACATATATATATATATATATATTAAAAAGTTCTATTTTTGGCAAATGTTAAATCCCTTTCAGACCAAAAGTAAAATGAATAAGCCTCAGGCTGAAGGAAGTGTAAATTCACGTCTGTACAATAGAGAGTGCATTTGAGCTGTGCTGTTGTTCTGGATTGCATGAAGAATAGGACGGTTGTGGCTAGAGGGGATACAGCTACAGCCGATAAGTAACAATAAATTAAATTTGCTACGTATAAAATTGTTTTAACATCTACACCAACCCAGACCTAAACCTACCACTCACAATAATGCAAATACAGTTATTACTGTTGTTCAGCGGGACAAAAATTACACAATATTAATGTGCACATGCCGAGTGGCAGTAGCTGTATCCCATCTAGCCTTAACCGAATAGGACGCAGGAGAAGAAAGTTCAACACTACAAACACAAATGTTTGTCTAAAGTCAGTTTTGCTTATTAGTATGGTTAAATTGGATCATTGAAGGTCAGCAGCAAAGATATTGGTTAATAAAATGAGATTAAATACATAAAGGATATTTGTGTTATTTATCATACTCAATTATTGCAGGTTTGTGTCATATTCTGAGTTTGCATTTCGCTGTTTTTATTCATTTTGAGGAATACTGAATCTGTTTCTGTGCGAGTGAGATGAGTAAATACATGTTGACATTAGTCTGGAACTACAGAAATATCATGTTCACACAGCGCTCACAACGCCTCTGCACTCACTCCTGATTCCTCTCAACATTAATACATGAGTGTGTGTGTGTGTATGTGTGTGTGTGTGTGTGTGTGTTTTACTGCACACACACGACAGCAGCAAAAATGCAACACGCTCCATGTTAAATATGTTTGGAAACTCAGTCCATCAGATGACACTGATCAACATCATTTCCTGTCTGCAGGCAGAGCTGCACATCATCCAAGAAGATCTCACTGAAGTGCACAAGAGACAGTATGTATGAGCGGCACACACACACTCACACACACCTCTGCTGGCCATAAGACACTGTTTCGTCCTTCATGGACCTTTTTCACATTTGCGCGATTCTCAGCAGCGGAAGTCGTCATAGTTGGGTTAATTTGAAGAGCAGTGAATGGGAGAGTACCACACATATATTTTTTGCATTCCCATTTGCTCAAATAGCAAAAGAAAAACTCCACGATAGTGTCTTCATGACTTTCAATAAAAGGGAAAAAACTGAGAGAGACTGATAACGGCAGTCAGAAGAGAGAACGATGTCAAATTTACCGTCCCTCCCACAGACGCTGCATTAGAAACATCCTCGAATTAGCGTTAACTGTTTTTTTGTAATTTGATGCAAAGGTGATACAATACAAAGAATAGTGCTATAAATGTACATAAATTAAAAAAAAATACAAATATGAAAAACCTTTGAGGTTTTACGATGCTGATGACCGTTAAACGCGTCATCACAGTTTTGTGAAAAGGGTCCATTCTCTCTGTTTGTCCTCTGTGTTTCAGAATGTGGCCGTCGGCCTGCTGCCCGGATGGTGAAGAGGATTCTGGGAGGCCGCACTAGTCGTCCGGGCCGGTGGCCGTGGCAGTGCTCTCTACAGAGTGAACCCAGCGGACATATCTGTGGCTGTGTGCTCATCGGGAACAAGTGGGCACTAACTGTAGCGCACTGCTTTGAGGGGTGAGAACACACACACGCACACAAACACACACGCACACACACACACACACACACTCACACACACACAAACACACAGGCACTCACACACACACACACACACACACAACAGTGGCATTCCGTCCATACAAGCTGCAAATGCTCCGCATACCCAGGCCATTTGAGAGAATAAGTTCACGGATAATTCATATAAATATGATTATAAGTTGATCCCTTGTCATTTGAAATGTAGCTTAAAGAGTTAGGAATAAGTACGTACAATGATTTATTTGCCAAACGGCAGTAATTTTCTTTAAATCTACGTCAATGACGGAAGCTTCCGGGGTGAGCGGATTCTCCGCAGCTTTCAATTCAATTCAATTAAAGTTTATTTGTACAGAGCTTTTCACGATACAAATCATTGCAAAGCAACTTTACAGCAAATTCAGTTTCTACAATATTTAGAGGTAGCTTATCAGTGGTGACTGTCAGTTAATGTACATATGGCAGAAATGTACGGAAAAATCAATTAAAGACGCAATCAAACAGACGATGAACACTATTAACAGCAATTATTATATGTTGCAATCAAACTTATAGCAAAATGTGGTAGTTCTGTATGTTGTTTCTTTCTCGTCTCCGCTCTGTTGCTCTGACTCGTCAGGATTGTAGTGCGTTCTCAGTGATTTACTGGTCTGCGGCTGATTTAATGCGCGAGGTAAGCTGTCAGCGAAGCGCTCGCCCAAGCAGATCTCGATTGTCGAGAATCACATTGTGTTTGATGCAAAACCAACTCGACTAAATCAAAAGAAAAAAACATTGTAACTGTATATTTTTGTTTTCTCAAGCAAAGCAAATTTTAAAAGTCCACTGAAAACATATCTTCTTACATTTTTGGTCACAGACAACGTATGTTGAAGATATACGTTATTGTCAACGTTATTGCCTAAGCGGTAAATTAAAAATATATATGTTTATAAAAACGTGGGCTATATAAAATTGTAATAATAACAAAACATCATATTGTTCCCTTTGTTTTGCGTATGCTCGTGTCGCTTACAGTTAAAGTCCTTCTCTGATTTTATTATTGTTTGCAAGGTTGCAACGTTACTTTGCAATATTTTAAATATTTTTGTTATGAGTAGTGTCACCCGGGTGGGAGTTTTAACTCCTATTCACTGGGAATAAAAAAATTATTTAACTGATGCAGAGAGACATATAGACCGGGGGAATCCCCCCATCTCCCCACCCTCTGATTACGTATCATAACATAACTTCACGAGTTCACACTTACATATAATTAGTTGAAGTATAGTAATGCGTAGTTGGCGTGCTGTCCAGGGAAGGGCTCCGAGCTCGGGAATGGCCCAAACCCAGAGTACCCCCCCAAAAAGCAATTGAGCGAAGGACAGCCGCCAGACTAAGGACCCCCCCACAAAAAAAATAAGCACTGAGATCTGGCGGGGGCTGGTGTTTGAGATGCCGGAAGAGCCTACGTACTCTGGTGAGCGACTTATGCATTGGAAGGGTGAGCCCTTCCGGCCGATGGGGAGGAGCAGCGTGATTGTAAAGCCTGACCAGGAGGGCCCGAGTTGCCTCGACTGGAACAGCTCACGGTGTTGCGTACGGTCCCTACTGGCTGACAAGCCCCTGCTGATCAGTGGGCAGAGGGCAAGTAGCTGACCGAGAGGGCCCATGAAGCCTCCGACTGGAGATCAAGACTCAGGACGACGGACGAGTGGGTCCTCTCGGTTTGGCAAGGAGGACTCTCACGACATCCGACGGGAGTTCAATACTCACGGCATCAGATGGGTGAGCCTCGCCTGTAGTCGACAGAGAAACATATTTGCTCCACCGGGAGCGCTCTTGCAGCATCTGACAGGGAGTTCAATGCTCAGAACAATTTGAGTTGCCTAAAAGGGTAGATGCTATGAGGATTACTTTACGTAATTGTTTGACAAATTCAATAAGCTGCTTCTGATAACATGTCAGAAAATTTTCGTGCTGCTTTGCATCCGAAAGTTAAGCGCACGACAAAATAGAATTTCCTGTGCCAGCGTACCCCAAATAAATGGCATGAATCTGGATGGATAGGCATAGCTTTGAAAGCTGAGGTGATGTCAACTTTTGCCAGCCAAGTGCTAAGACCCATGATTTTATCATATTGATTGCATGATCAATGTCCTACTATTGAGAGAGAATTAGTCAAGAAATCGAGGTGTTTATGCTTGAAAACGGGGAGTTATGCGGAACTGTTTGTTATATGAGTCTTATCACTCAGCATACCTGGTTAAAAATGTCACCGCTCGCCACTGACACACACTCACACACACACACAAACACACACACACACACACACA